TAAAAACAGGTGGCCCTCTTGGCCTGTAGTTTGTTAACCCTTGACTGAAAGCTACTTCATTAAGCTGCAAGAACAGAGGTGTATCAACTTTGTGGCCTCGAGGACTGTTTTTTTTTTTGGTACTGAGGATTGAACCCAGGGGCTTTTAACCACTGAGCCACATCCCCAACCCCCATCCCCTTTTTTAAAATTTAGAGACAGGGTCTTGCTGAGTTGCTTAGGCCTTGCTAAGTTGCTGAGGCTGGCTTTGAACTCTAGATCCTCCTGCCTCGGCCTCCCAAACTGCTGAGTTAACAGGCGTGCACCACTGTGCCTGGCCTCCAGGGCTTTTAAGCATAGTACCTTAGCAGAGTTGGTTACCAAGTAAGTGCGTGAATGAAGGGAGGGCCAGCTCCAGTCATGGAGCTCACTCTGAGTGATTCCTTGTCTGGATTTGCTTTAACCATCATGCCTACAATTCCACTCCCCACCCACCCACATGGCCTTACTGTCAGGAAGTGATCTCTTTCTCCTCCAGGAGGCTAGGGTGGTCTGCATGCAGACCATGAGAATGAAAAAGGAACTTGCAAGATGTTGAGATCCTTCTGAGCTACCAGAAGCACTTATTCCACCTTTAAAACCTAGGTCTGGGGCTGGGGATATAACAGTTGGTAGAGTGCTTGCTTCAAAGGCACAAGGCCCTGGGTTCAATCCCCAGCACCACAAAATAAACAAACAAACACAAACCCTAGGTCTGTGTCATCTGAAGCTGGTTAAGGCATCTCTCCCTGCAGCAAACCCAAGACAGTCCAGCTCAACTAGAAAGACAGCAGAGACTGTCTTCAAATTCAAGAGGCAGGTGGAAATCTAGATTAGCACAGTTAGGATTAGCATCTGTCACCTTCATTTCACAGAGACACCACAGGTTCATGTAGATTCTGTCACATGATACTGCTAGCTAGAGCTGGAGCTAGGAGTTGAGAGAGGCTGTCATTTAGAGGATCCTGGGGATATAATTTAAACTAGAATTCAATGGCCCATTCAGGTTTTTGGTGTTTTTGTTTTTTGCCAAGGGATCGAACCCAGGGGCACTTAACCACTGAACCACCTCCCCAGCCCTTCTTTGGATTTTATTTAAAGACAGGGTCTTGCTGAGTTGCTTAGGGCCTTGCTAAAGTGCTGGGGCTAGTTTTGAACCCACAATCCTCCTGCCTCAGCCTCCCCAGCTACTGGGATTATAGGCATGTGCCACCGCACTCAGCTTAGTTCTGCCAGAGGTAAAAGAGAAATAAACAAATGAGGGCAAGCTTTATGGGTGTAAGAAGAGAAAAATCCTCTCAGACCCAAGCACTTTGGAATATCACTGCTCCCCTTCTCACCGAGGCATTCTGGGAATTTATCTTCAATACCACCTTCCAGGTATATCACCCTTCTTGCTATTTTGATGTTTTTATTACCTTCCATCCCAGCTCACTTGCATGCACATATTTTACAAGTCAACAAATGTTTACATGAGTATCTGCAGCTTGGTGGGGGGGAGACACACCGTGTATTCTCTGTGGATTTGGGCCTCTTCCTTGCGTTTCCAGTCTCAGAGGTAACCATTTCACCTCAAGGTAGACTCAGGGTGGGACCCGGAGAAGTGGCTCTCTGTACAGATTTATTTTTGCATATGTACTAAGTTGCACTTTGTCTTTCCAAATAAAATGGTTTCTTTCTTTCTTGTCTCCCATTCAAATGTCTCCTGGTAAAAAACATGTGAAGTAGCTGGTTGGAGGTTGAAGTAGAATGGAGGGCTATGCCCCCTTGGAAAAGGGCAGCCATGATTCATTCACCTCTGAATGCCACGGAAAGTGGGCCTATTTCCAGTTTTTCAAGAGCTACTGAAAAGTGGGATTTTTTTTTAATGGAAAGTCTCCTGATTTTTGACATTTGTAATAAATCCTAATAATAACAATAATAAAGCCTTCCAGATTTGGCCCCTGTACTGTCAAGTTTGCTTTAGATAAAATATGGGAACCTCCCTTTCTTCTCCTCCTCCTCCTTCCCCCCTCCCTTCCCCTTTCCCATACCCTTCCCACCTTCCCCTTCCCCCCCTCCTTTTATTTTTGCAATACTGAGAATTGGATCCAGGACTTTTTGCTTGCTGGGCAAATACTTTACCACTGAGCTACATCCCCAGCCAGTTATTTATTAATAATAAATTTATTAATAGTAAATAAATTAATTTATTAATTATTAATTAATGATATTATTAAAATTAATTATTTATTAATAAATACATAATTTTAAAATTTATGTTTTGAGACCGCATCTTACTAAGTAGCCCATGCTGGCCTCAAATTTGTGATCCTCCTGCCTCAGCCTCTCAAGTTGCTTGGAATTATAGGTGTGCACACCATGCCCAGTGAACTTTTCTTTTTTTAAGGTGTTTGTTTGTCTATGGTACTGAGGATGGAATCCAGGGGCCCTCTAACCCTGAGTCCCATCCCCAGCTCTTTTTATTTTTTGAGACAGGGTCTTACTAAGTTGCCCAGCATGTCCTCAAACTGGCAATCCTCCTGTCTTAGACTCCCGAGTTGCTGGGATTACAGGCATGTGTCTCCATACCCAACTTCATGAATATTCTTAGATAATAACGCAGTTTTAAAATTCTCACAATAAAAGAGTTCTTGGGAAAACTAAAACTGGGTACTTCAAATGGTTTATAAAAAAATAATTTAGGATTGAGTTATAATTCTTTACATTCAATATAGACTATATTATCAATTTAGTATTGATTAAATGTAAAGACAAGTAACTTGACCCTCTCCACAATGCACATCATTTAGCATATTACTATGAGC